TTCTTTCTTTCATTTTAATTCTTTCTCTTCCCAGTAATTCTTCCATTTGTTTATTTCTTTTCATACTTTCGTATTATTTCCTTTTATTTTCCGTCATCTCTTTTTTTTTTCTTTTTGTGTTCTTCTCATCTGCTTGTGATATATAAAGGCTATTCCAATAATTTGGATCGATTTTAAATGTGAATTAAGTTTAAACGTCTAATGATTTTTTTCTTTTTCTTTCAGATTTAACAACTTTAGTATTTAGCAATTTCAACCATGGGAAGATTAACAACCAAACAAACGTGTTAAAGTTATCGAAGCCTATTACGAAAATGGACGTTCAAACAGAAATGCAATGAGAAGTTCGCAGGTCGCTTCATCTCCCGAAACAGCGAATTACCGTACCTAGCTTAAATGCTGTAATTATTATTTAATATGAAAGCAGTCAACAGCCAAGGGTAGTGGAATCAACAGTCGTGTGTTTGTGACCAAGACGAGTTCTCAAGTCTCCTGGATAAGACGATAAATTAAAAGTGTTCCAATAATTGGACCGATTTTAAATATGAATTAAGTTTAAGCGTCTAATGATTTTTTTTCTTTTCCTTTCAGATTTAACAACTTAAGTCTTTGGCAATTTCAACCATGGAAAGATTAACAATCAAACAACGTATTAAAGTTATCGAAGCCTATTACGAAAATGGACGTTCAAACAGAATGATTTAATTCAATAATGGGATCGCCTGTGTTTGATCAAACTCAAGTGTCGGCAGCGATACTTTATATTTTTATAACAGTATTATAATTCGTGTATTGACGGGGTTTTATAATGTTAATTCCTTTTTTATGTTCATAATTAAAAGGTTGTTCGGCAAAAAAATTTTAAAAGAAATCTTTAATTGTGTTCTAATATATTATCATAATAGTTGCCCAAAATATATTAATCGTTTCTAATGATTAAAGTGTCCTCTTTATTAATTTGATATCAATCTCTTTCAGAATTGTGTTCTCAAATATGTGACGCACACTTTATACACAATGGAAAATGCTATTAGGTTGTTTGGAAAAGATTGTAGAATTTTCGAATAGACCTTTTAATTGTGTTCTAATATATTATTCTAATAGTTGCCCCAAAATATATTACTCATTATGTGATGATTATAGTGTCGTCTTCGTTAATTTGATATCAATCTCTTTCAGAATTGTGTTCTCAAATATGTGACGCACATTTTAGATACAATGGAAAATGATATTAGGTTGTTTGGAAAAGATTGTAGAATTTTCGAATAGACCTTTTAATTGTGTTCTAATATATTATTCTAATAGTTGCCCCAAAATATATTACTCATTATGTGATGATTAAAGTGTCCTCTTCGTTAATTTGATATCAATCTCTTTCAGAATTGTGTTCTCAAATATGTGACGCACACTTTATATACAATGGAAAATGGTATTAGGTTATTTGGAAAAGATTGATTAAGCATAACAATTCACAAGTCCGTGCACACAACTTTGTCCTTGGAATTACCGTTTTGGCAAAAAGTGAACTTTAATCTATTCAGATAAAAATGTTCTTAGAATACCATAATCAATTAGTCAATTTCGACTGGTCTGTTTCAACTTATTTATTAAAATACTAAGTTTTTGTGGAAATTATTGTCCGATTTTCGAATAGACCTTTTAATTGTCTTCTAATATATTATTCTAATAGTTGCCCCAAAATATATTACTCATTTCTAATGATTAAAGTGTCCTCTTTGGTAATTTGATATCAATCTATTTCAAAATTGTGTTCTCAAATATGTTACGCACCCTTTATATAAAGTGGAAAATTGCATTAGGTTGTTCGGAAAGGAGTGTCCGATTTTCGAATAGACCTTTTAATTGTCTTCTAATATATTATTCTAATAGTTGCCCCAAAATATATTACTCATTTCTAATGATTAAAGTGTCCTCTTTGTTAATTTGATATCAATCTCTTTCAGAATTAAACTTAATACATTATATCCTCCTCATCCTGAATATGAAACTCAATTCACAGATAACAAAGAAAATGAATATATATGGAGACGGAAACAAGAAACCTCTTTACCAAGAAGAAATTAAGCCAATTCATAGACAAAGAAAAGGAATCTGTGTAGAATGCAACGGGAAACCACAACCCACAAACATACCCTAGAACTCTATAGCAATCTACAGGTAATAAACTAAATAAATATGTAGAAAATGTAACTGGAATTCATTTCGCTAAATTTCACATGAAGGCTTTCTTGCAGTTTTTTATTTATATATGTTTACTAGTGAGCCAGTCAAAATGACTTGACTCATTTTATAGACCACCAAGAAAAGGGTCAGCCAATCAGAAAACGTAGAATATTCAATCCGTCGTGTATAAAGGCGGCCATTTTGTTTACTCTATCCGAATGTCCAGTGCCAGTTTGTCAGGCGAAGAGAAACAGAAGGAAGAACTACGCTCTGCTATTTTACCGGGATATCCTCTGCTAACCTGAACAACGCTTTCCTACTGTCTTCGAAATATTCACTGCTAACCTCTGGATTCTATACTCAAAGACGACCGCCATCATGAACAACAGGCTTAGCAATTCACAGGTAACAACGAAAAGGAATGTGTTGAAACGTTAACGGAAAACCACTTCACCATCTTTTCCAAGAAGTTATGGCAATTCACAGATAATAAAGATAAGTTATTTTCAGAAAACAACTGAAAACCATTGCTCTCTTTCCTAGGAATCTATGCCAAATAAAAAGTAATGAGTGATCTGTGAAGGGCCATTATAGTCCAAGTTTTGAAGAAATGTGGTATGGAATAGAAAAGTGGCCCCTCCTGACAAACCTAAGGAATAAAATATATATATATATGGAGGCACGGTGTGGTAATGGATATCGGCTCGGATTGTGGAATCGCAGAGCCGAGTTCGAATCCAGGTTGAATCCATTACATTCACTTACGTCCTAACACCCTTGGGAAGAGGATTCATGGGTTAAATAGCAGGACAGACTGGGTTCTATAGCCTTGGATGGCAACTGAAGGACAACTGAGAAGGACAACTCTGAATTCAAAACCCGAGGGGGGTTGTTTGGGGGCCTTGTGGCACGTAGTGCACCAGGTCTCTGTATTCGGCCCCTCAAAAAGTGTGGAAGCCTTCACCACTATAAACGAATCTCATGGAAACTGATCTGCTTGACCCTCATGCGTCGAACCCGACGGGAGAATCGATTTATATATATTTATATATATATATATATATATATATATATATATATATATATATATATATATATAAAAAAACGACAGACAAGGTACTACGGTTGACCTTTTTATTTAATTTTTCTTGTGTTCTGACAAGAGCTTTCTTTTCTGGACAAAGAGTGTGTAAGAACTGTCCGAATGTTCTGTGTTTCCGAGCGCTTTCGGCTATACCTTTAGCCATTATCAAGGATGATTCACTTATCAGCTTAATGTGTGTGTTCTGTGTATGTTCAGTGTGTGGTAGTGATGTTTTTAGTTTCCGAATACGGTTAGCACATTGTGGCTTTGTTCATAGTTAATATTGTTAAGGGTTGGCTTTTTCTTTTTTATTATTAGAGCTTCCATTATTTTTAGTCTTTTTTTGCAAGTGGATGCAGTTAATATATTTGTGTTTTCTACTAGTATGTTCCTAATAGTGTTGGGTAAATCTGAGTGTGTGTTTAAATGTGTTCTGATGGAACTGTGATCAGATAGGTGTAATGTAAGACGTCTGGATAAACATAAACTAGAGCAGGTCTTTTTTTTTCCTCAAAGCTTGGTTCAAACGCTCCAATTGCTGACAGTATATTTGAGCATTAATTGTTGCATTAGGTGGTAAGAATTCAAAGTGGATTATTCCTTGGCGATCCCACCAGATTGAAAGAAGAACCTTTTGCCCATGAAGTTCTTTTCTCGGCTGTGGCTGGGGTCCTTCCCCTTTACCAAGCCACTGTCTACGACGCTTAACATTTCGATAAAAGATCCATTTTTTCGTCGCCAGTCACAAGTCTATCCAAAAAAGGTGAAACAAGTTGGCGAGAATGGAGAGAAGAGCAGATGTCAATTCGGGATTTGAGGTTGTTTTCAGACAATTCATGTGTGCACCTACTTTCCAAGTTTAGGAACTTTTCCAAGATGTTGAAGATGACGATGAACAGTTGTATGGTTTGAACTGAGAACCACTGCCAATTTCTCAACTAATAAAGCAGGATTTTCTTCATGGGTTGCTTGAAGAAGCTTTTCATCAAACTCAACTGGACGTCCGGTTCGATCTTCATCTTCAAGGGTGAAATCTCCACCTCTGAATTTTGCAAACCATCTTCTGCAAGTTCTTTCATTCACACATTCATCTCCATAAAACTGAGTGAATGTTTCTAGCCGCTTCGGCTGCTGAGTTTCCTTTCTTGAACTCATAAAGCATTATGTTCCTCAAATGATTCTTGTGTACTTCCATGTTAGCAGGGTTTTAATCAAACAAAATTTAATTTTATTGTTCTCTGAAATAAAATTTGATCAGTTTAAATGCATCTAAACATAAAAATAATGTTCAGCTCCATTAGACATTATAAAATACTCTTTAAATTACGTTCATTTTAACAAAAAGTTAAAATTCGGACAGAAGTTATGGGATGACCTGATATTTGTTGAGTCTACACATGCACATGAACGAGAGACGCTGTAGTACTCATGGTGCCCCTAAGACACTACGGGTCACGGGATGAAGAAAATTTACCCTTATAGAACCCTGTCTGTCCTGCAATTTACCCATAGCTGAAGGAAAAAAGAGGGATCATACTTTTCCCAAAAGTATTAGCCCGTAAGTGAATGTAATGGATCTGAATAGAATTCGAACTCGGCTCCCCGATTCCTCAATCCTAGCCGTTATCCATTACCACACGGTGTTCCTTTCAACGGGAAACAAAACAGATTTTTTGCAAAACTATATTTTTTCTCTTTCTATATAATTATTTACCCGCTCCTCCACGCAGCAAGATGTGGCACAAGGCCAATAAAATTCGAACTCGGCTCCCCGATTCCTCAATCCTAGCCGCTATCCACTACTCCACGGTATTCCTTCCAACAGGAAATAAAACAGATTTTTTGCAAAACTATATTATTTTTTTATCTTTCTATATATACGCTGTGATATATACTTGTTAATCCATTTGCATTTATAATGAACATGATGAAAATTCGGATTGCAGCATCCTCGAAGATGCTATCGAAATTATCTAATTGACGTTGAAGCCCGCTGGGGTTGTAACGACTGAATGCTGATGGTAGATAGGGAAACCAGCGAAGGAGAAGGAAAGAGAGAGAAATGATACCTCCAACCCAAAGTAATTATAATGAAATTTAATTTCTTTGCAATTTTAACCAGAAATGACGCAATTGATTTTGTTGCCAACATTTCTATTGTGAGAGCGATGGTGCGATCATGACCGTTAACCATTACGCAGGTTTTGATTGTTTTTTTTTTCTTTTCTATTTGTGTATTTATAAAAATGAAAGGAAAAAAATATACTTCTAAATTATATCTATTTAATATGCGTCAGTGAAAATGACATATTTCTATGTGGAAATACCAATCGAGAAGCAAAGAGGCAACCAAATAGACGATCGTTAATCAGCGGGGGTTGTATTGGATTTGATTCACATTGTTATAACATTGTGCCTATCAGAGCTAACCTTTGGAATAGATAGATAGATAGATAGATAGATAGATAGATAGATAATGGACAGGCTGTGGTATAGATAGATAGATAGATAGATAGATAGATGGACAGGATGTGATAGTCAATGGACAGGCTGTGATAGTATATAAATATATAGGGTATATATATATATATATATATATATATATATATATATATAGAGAGAGAGAGAGAGAGAGTGAGATAGATAGATAGATAGATAGATAGATAATGAATAGATGAGATAGATAGATAGATAATGGACAGGCTGTGATAGATAGATAGATAATGGATAGATGTGATAGATAGATAGATAGATAGATAGATAGATGATATATAGAGAGAGAGAGAGAGATAATGGACAGGCTGTGATAGTCAATAAACAGCCTGAGGTATATGTATATATATATATATATATATATATATATATATATATATATATATATAGAGAGAGAGAGAGAGAGAGAGAGAGAGAGAGAGAGATGAGAGAGATAGATAGATAGATAGATAGATAGATAGATAATAATGAACAGGGTGAGATAGATAGATAATGGACAGGTTGTGATAGATAGATAGATAGATAGATAGAGAGAGAGAGAGAGAGAGAGAGAGAGAGAGAGATCGATAGATAATGGACAGGCTGTGATAGTGAATAAACAGACTGAGGTATATATATATATATATATATATATATATATATATATATAGAGAGAGAGAGAGAGAGAGAGAGAGAGAGATAGATAGATAGATAGATAGATAGATAGATAGATAGATAGATAGTGTTGTGGTACGATCCACCTAATTTACATAGTGGAGTACCGACCGATATAAATATGGTTTGGTACCGGAAGACGGGGAGAAGGAAGAAGAGATCGAATCGAGAGACTCTGCCCGACTGCGTTTAAGTCAACCCATTCTGCTGGAACAGTCTTCCCAAGAATATACCAAAACTAACTGTAAATATTGTGTACCTTTTCCTTGTTTCAATACATTTTGTTTACGTACATTTTGTGTTGTATTATTATTATTCCATGATTATCCAAGCTTCAACAGATAGATAGATAGATAGATAGATAGATAGATAGATAATGAACAGGGTGAGATAGATAGATAGATAGATAATGGACAGGCTGTGATAGATAGATAGATAGAGAGAGAGAGAGAGATAGATCGATAGATAATGGACAGGCTGTGATAGTCAATGAACAGGCTGAGGTAAAATATATATATATATATATATATATATATATATATATATATATATAGATAGATAGATAGATAGATAGATGTTTGTCTACTTCATTTGCCAATATATAAACAGATAAATAATAGTTTCGCCTCTTTCTACTTCATACCTTTGTTACTCTCTTGAATGAATCTTATTAAATTTTAAATATGATTTTTTTATATTAACGGATCATGTTTTACAGAATGTTATATTCCTTTCTTTCATTCATTCTTTTATTTCGCTTGATCAATTTGACATGAAACTCACTGACAATTGTTTTTCAACAGTTTCAACAAAGGTTAACTTATCAAATCATTATGATTTGAAATGCTTGATACGTTTAGTGCCGACAGGGATTTTTCTATTTTTCATTGTCATTTTTAATGAGTTTATAAGAAATGCTGATTGTTACATTATCAAAATCATTTGCGATAAAATTCATTTGTAAACAAAATAAATACGAATATCGTGAATTAAAAAGTTTCGAACGTTAAAATGAAATATAAAAGAGGCACAAAATAGTAAATGAAATAGCCTTTTACTAATGTTTGCATGAATTTCTGATCACTGACAATTGTTCGGTTCTAGTTTTCAATGTATATTTACAATCGAATAATTGGCAAGGCATTTGCAATATCTACATATAAAAGCTTTATTATGTCAGTAATGCTAGCATTAATTAGTGGTCAGGCAATCCCTTTGTTCCTCATTTTAAATGCATTTTTACAATAAAATCATTAGAAAACCATTGACATATATATATATATATATATATATATTATATATTATATATATATATATATATATATATATATATATATATATATATATATATATATATATATATATATATATATAACAAACTATTATATTATATATATAATATAATATATATATATATATATATATATATATATATATATATATATATATATATATATATATAATAACAAACATATAATAGCATTATTCTATCAGTAATGCTTTCGTTAATTCCTGAACATTGGCAATCCCTTTCTTCCTCATTTTAAACGCATTTTCATAGTAAAATCATTGGCAATGTATTTACATTATATATATATATATATATATATATATATATATATATATATATATATATATATATATAGTGCTATTCTCTTAGTAATGATTGCATTCATTCCTGACCGCTGACAATCCCATCCATATCAGTAATGCTAGCATTAATTAGTGGACAGGCAATCCCTTTGTTCCTCATTTTAAATGCATTTTTACAATAAAATCATTAGAAAACCATTGACATTATATATATATATATATATATATATATATATATATATATAATAATAATAATAATAACCCTATTATAATATTTATATTTTCATTAATTCATGACCATTGACAATAACTTTTTTTCTTTTCAATGCATTTATATAGTACAATCATTCGTAATACATTTATGAGCTGCTTTCACTGGTTCCCAGACTTCATGAATTCAAGCGCCCTACGAGGCTGGCATCCCGCTCTCACCCTTACACTGTAGAAACTTTTCAATGTAACCGTCTCTTCTACTCCAATAGCTTCATACTTCGCACCACTCGCCTGTGGAACACCCTTCGCAATTACTGTTTCCCTGAGAGCTATATTCTCCAGCTATTCAAATGTAATGTCAATCGACATCTCCAGTTACCTTGATCTACCCACTATCCCTCTCCTCATCCTTTCTTCTATCACTCCTATCTGCTCTCGCTCCAAATCTTCTGCAACCCCCCTGCATCCTAGTGGCTTCACGCCTTGCTCGTGGCGTAATGCTTAAAAAAACAAACATATAATAGCATTATTCTATCAGTAATGCTTTCGTTAATTCCTGACCAATGACAATCCCCTTCTTCCTCATTTTAAACGCATTTTCATAGTAAAATCATTGGCAGTGTATTTACATTATATACATATAATAGTCCTATTCTCTTAGTAATGATTGCATTCATTCCTGACCACTGACAATCCCTTTCTTCCTGATTTTCAATGCATTCTTATTAACATGAGAGTCCCTGCAGACTGCAATGTATCTTGAAGACCTTCAAAAAATATCAGAAACATGTACCTTGAAATCGAAATCTCAAAAATGTGGCGCATGAGAACATTAACAATTTCAGTTGTAGTTGGAGCCCTCGGATTGATAGGAAAATATTCCAATAGACTCATTTAAGGAATCCCTGGTAGCCCATGCCTTAAAGAAATAAAAAAGATTGTACTCACAAGTACAGCCCACACCTGACGAAGGGTATTAATCCCAGTAAAATATGTGCGTTTTTTGTTTTTCAAAACGGCTCAGTGGAAAATGTCATGATGCCATTTCTAACCTTAGGTCTCTTGTCGGGACCCGGAAAAAAATGAGTACACACCAGAAATGAAAGGAAATAAAACAACAACAACAACAACAGCAACAATAATAATAATAATAATAATAATAATAATTTTCCTGGAACTACACCCTTTATAGAATAAATGGATTCCCACGCTTTTTGTGTTGATGGTATTAACATGCACGTTTTGCAGAGTGCAATTTGTAATGGCGGTTAGATGTAATTGACAGAGATGCTTAATAAAGACAATTGATAAATTTCCCAATAACCAATAATAAAAGAATGAAAAGAATAGTGTAAAAGTAATACTCAGCAATATATATATATATATTTAGTTAGTTAGGTAATCCGTATGGGTAGACCCAAGGAGGATAAAATCCAGAAAGCTCAATGTAAATCCAGAGCAAATAATTTAAATAAAAACAGAGCACTTTAAGGTTCCATGTAACATGGAACCTTAAAGTGGTAATTTTTTATTGAATATATATATATATATATATAAAGAAAAGAACAGTAAGATATATAATACGGTGTTCTTAGAGATATTTTATTTTTTACAAAATAGTGCTCAATGTAAATTTACAGAGCATTAATATTATAAATTAATTTATTTAAAAATATGATTTTCCGCTACACAGTTCTAACCATGTTTCAAAAATGGAAGGTCCTAATTTAATTTTTTGTACTTAAATTAAAGACATTAGTTCCATTTCATCCTCAAGCG